TGCTCACTAAAAATTCCCTTCTCAGGTAATACACAACATTTTGCAATGATATTCGAACATATTAGCTCTATAAAAATAGATATATTATATTTTTACATAACCTTATTTCATTTTACACATTTTTAAGTTACAGAACACGTTTTTCTCATAAGCTTTCGCTCTTTGTTTGAATATCAAAATATTTTTTATAGTCTCTAATATGACCTTTTACATGTTCAAGATTAAAAACCTACAACCAAACCAAATAGCTTATTTCTGTGCTTCAACTTATTCAATAATATTAACATCTGATCTTAGAGGTACTTCTGAATTTTAACAATACTTACTATTAAGTTAACTCTCCCAATACGGGGTCGGTCAATTTGACCGAGTCACGTGACCTTTTGTACTCGTTTAAGGAGTTACTTTAAACGTCACAGATTTATGGTAAAGACGTGTATGTCAGTATTCGTGTATTTTCTCTTCAATTAAATTAAGTACTGACATAATATTCTCCAGAAATTCACCCCCGCTTATGACCCTATACATGTTGGGAAGGGAGAGAGAGGCATGGTAGATAAACATTGTTGCTACTTAATTAAAGGTTTTCACATTTATATTTAAGACTAAAAATTGTGTATTTTAATTTGAGCTAAATGTCAGATCAGAGACTTCTAGTTCAGGTACAACAATTTCTAGCTTTGAATTGTTGACGAGAGAAAAAGCAGCCAGCCACCCAGCATCATTCGCCGCTACGAGGACTTTGTTGGTTTTTCTGGACCGAATAATAGGTTTGACTGCCAATTTTGCAACGTACCCACAACTAAGTGTGTGAAACTTGTTCCTCAACATCACATTTCGAATCCGGGACCTTCTGATCCGCAATCCAACACGTTAACCACTAGTTCACTCCCTGCTCAGTTTAAAAATATTTACGACTCCACATACACGTTGAAAGACAATAGACAAGTATTCTACTTACATGTTTGTAATTTTAATGTGTAACTCTTCTTACGTTGAAATGATAACAGATTCTTACCTCCATTGTTTGTAGTTTTAATGTGTAACTCTTCTTACGTTGAAATGATAACATATTCTTACCTCCATTGTTTGTAGTTTTAATGTGTAACCTTTTTTACGTTGAAATGATAACAATTCTTACCTCCATTGTTTGTAGTTTTAATGTGTAACTCTTCTTACGTTGAAATGATAACAGATTCTAACCTCCATTGTTTGTAGTTTTAATGTGTAACTCTTCTTACGTTGAAATGATAACAGATTCTTAACTCCATTGTTTGTAGTTTTAATGTGTAACTCTTCTTACGTTGAAATGATAACAGATTTGTACCCCCATTTAAATACATTCCACATAATCACCTCAGTGATAGTTAGTACAATAATCAGCTCCAAGAATGGTTTGCTTTGCCTGAATAAGAACCCATATGTGCCTATCACAGGTCACAATGTCTTCGTTTTTCTGCTGTTAGCTTCCCACCATATATATATATTATACCCCTGATGATGTAGCATCGAAACAAACAGTAAATGGTATTTATTTTGGTACAGTTTGAATTATAAAATTTACACCAGCAAACCTGACAAAATTCCATTAGTTACTGGCATGTCATCTGGTCAAAGAAAAGGGACAGCTACGGTTTCGAAATAAGATTCACATAGAGTTTGAAAATCAGAACCAAACAGGTGTCAAATAACACGCATGACAAGTAAACAACAAGCGTAATTCCTAGAATATCCAAGAAAACTACTAGTTTAACTTATAAGACGTAACCACTTTGACTTTTGGAGCACGTGGCAGTAGCCAATCTCATGAAGCCAATGGCAAACAAACTTTAAAGCACAACAGAAGAAGGTCAAAGTTCCACCACTGGAGGAGGAAGGAAAAAAAGAAGGTTATAAAGTATGGTCCTTGTATCCATAAACTATAAATAGATGGTATGTCTTGAGGCAAAGAAACCACCAAATCTTAGATGGACAAGTCCTAGTTAGTAATTTGTGAGATGAGCTGGATAACGATGGAAACGGAAAAGATTTTGGTACTCGATGTATACAAATCCAGTCTCGAGGAAGAATATTGCACCCTAAGAAAAAAACGTCCACCAATAGAAAGCTGGTCAGAATGGAAACGAGTCAGATAATGGTAGCATTAAAGAGATAAAAAGTTAAAAAATTTGCTGTCTTTGCTGCTGGAGCAACATCATTTGGAAATGATAGAGGAACCTAAGTGCCCAGGCTACAAACAACAACAACAAAAAACACCAAACAAACAGAAATGACATGAACTACAATTCCAACATGACCTTTGTGGTTATTATTTATTCAGGAATGACAAAAGATTGTTTGGCTTGTTTTGAATTTTGCGCAAAGCTACACGAGCTAGCCGTCCCTAATTTAGCAGTGTAAGACTAGAGGGAAGGCAGCTAGTCATCACCACCCACTGCCAACTCTTGGGCTACTCTTTTATCAACGAATTGACCGTCACATTATAACGCCCCCACGACTGAAAGAGCGAGCATGTTTGGTGGATTGCGAGTCGAGCTCCCTAACCACCTGGCCATGCTGGGCCGTGACAAAAGAAAGACAGAAACAAGAATATCATCTACCCCTTTTTATTTTTGGATATCTTAGCAGGATGACTAGCCATTTTTGAGATAGGGGTAACCGCTTAATCCTTGAAAAAAAAAACGAACAACTTATATATCAAAACATTTATTAAATGAAATAGTCTCCATTCTTATCGATGAGGCTTTTCCATCTTACAATCAGGTTGTTAATGCCCTGATTAAAAAAATCACTTGGCTTTGAAGCAAAAACAAAAAAAAACATGTCGATGTCCTCGTTAACACCTTCCACATTTGCATACGTTTTCCCACTAAGATGGTGTTGCAGCGAACGAAAAAAATGGTAATCTGATGGTGCCATATCTGGAGAATATGGTGGGTGGGGGAGAACTTCACAACCCAACCCCATAATCTTGTGTTGCGTCATACCTGCCACATGTGGACGTGCATTGTCGTGGAGAAGAAGAACACCTTTCCAACTGACGAGTAAAGGGCGTTTCTGATGAAGGGCTTGATTTGAACGTTCCAGTTGCTGACTATAGATCTCTGCATTGACAGTTCGCTGTGGATTGAGGAGTTCAAAATGAATTACTCCTTTGATGTCCCACCAAATGCAAAGCATCACTTTCTGCGGTTTTAGGGTCGGAAGTGGTTTTTGTCCAGGACTGAGCCATTGTTTTTGGCATTTAATATTCGCATATAGAATCCATTTTTCATCACCGGTGACATCACAATTCTGTCCAAAAATGGTTCACGCGCATTACGCGCCAGAAGAGACGAAGCAACGTTCACACGTTGGAAACGATGATCATCGGAGAGTTCGTGAGGCACTCAAACACCTTTATGAAGTTTCCCATATTCCTTAGATGTTTACGTATTGTTTCACGAGAGACATCCAATTTCAGGGCCATTTCACGAGTGTGTTGCCTTGGGTTTAGACTCAACAAACGTCTTCAGAGCATCAATATCAATTCCAACATGTCGGCCCCTGCCATCACAGTTTTTAAGGCTAAAATCATCTGAACGAAATTTACTGAACCATCGTTGACACTTACGAACGTTCAAAACATTTCCATAAACTTCTTTGATATTCTTTGTGGCTATAGAGGCGTTGTTTCCCTTCTTGTATTCAAACAGCATTACATGCTCCATCACTATAAGGGATTAGAGTATACGAAACTTTCCACATTATACAGGCTACACTAACGTGACGTTCAGGCGGTTCGTTTAACTATTATACGTGATGTACGTTTTTTTTTTTTTAAATGAAAGTGTTCCAAAACGCGACATTACTTTCTTGACGAACTAATTTATTCCTTCTAGTATTTTCGTGTTTCTTATTTTTACTTTTTCCACGTGCTATTTTCGGACGTGGAGCGTGAAAAATGCTGTTACCGGTTGCTCGGAGCATGTTTGTTTATTTATACGAATGTGCAATTTAATTGTTTGGTTACTGATTTTGTTATCCTACGTTTTTTAGTATCGTGATTCTAGTGTAAATGAGATCTTTATCAACCGTTAAGCCCTTTGACTGATAAACGTTCGAATAAACGGACTTTAGTATTCAGAATTACTTGTACAATTTATTTCTTTTCTTTATAACATATCTGTTAGGTCCCCAGTGGATCAGGAGTAAGTTTATTGACTTAGGAAGCTAATATCTGGGCTTGATTCTCCGTGATGGACGGAGCACAGATAGCCTATTACGTAGCTTTGTGCTAAAACAAACAAACACACCTGTAAGTTGTTAATAACTGGTAATAACGTTGCATCAGATACCTGTCAGGTGATAATAGCTAGTAATGACGTTGCACCAGATACATGTCTGATACCATTGGCTGGTAATGACATTACGTGAATCAGATACCTGTCAGGAGTTAATAGCTGGTAATAACGTTGCATCAGATACCTGTCAGGTGATAATAGCTGGTAATAACTTGGCATCAGATAACTGTCAGGTAATAATAGCTGGTAATTACGTTGCACCAGATGTCAATGGCTGGTAATGACGTTACGTGAATCAGATACCTGTCAAGTTTTAATAGCTGGTAATGACGTTACATCAGATAGGTTGAGCCATACGATGTTAATTGAATTCTGTTGACTATGTTATTTTGTAATAAAATAATCATACAGCTGATTGATTGATTTTGAAGTTGGGTCAGGTATCAAAAGATTCCAACTCATTCTGTAGTTCTCTGAAGTATAATCCGGAATCAAAGGTTTGGTATTATACCTTGTGGCCTTCTTCCTTCACGTGTTGGTCACCTGTTTCTTAGTTGAGGCGACACGTGAACACGAGGTAATATATGGAACAGTATTGGTTGTTATAGTAAGAGCTGTAGAGTCTTGAACTGATCAGAAGGTGGAAACGTAAAACCAGTCACTGGGTTTGTTTGTTTTAGTTCAAAGCCACACAATGGGTTGTCTGAGCTCTGCCCAACCCGGAGGAATCGGACCCCGAATTTGAGCGTTTGTATTCTGTAAACTTATTGCTGACCGTCCAATGGACACCAGAGAATCTTGTCAACTCACATTGTACATTTCCACTAAAGTTACTTTGTCATCAGTTTTTATAAGAGAAATTACTTTTTAGTAAACAGTTTCTTCAGTTTGGAACCTATTCAGCAATTTTTACTCTGTGATCTTGGTTATGAGATGTTCAAGCAGTTAGACCTCAGTTTCCAATTGCTTAATTTTTCAATTCAACAAGAGTATTGTTTTTCCCGTTAGTATTTCGTTACTTATCTAAGTTATTTGATCTTAAATGACTGAACGGGGACAAGACACCAGGTGAAAAGAAACACGAAATTAAAAATATTTGTTCCTGCCAAGTATAAAAAAAAAGATAAAGCTGGCTTTAATTCCAAAAACTACTGTTTAGTTTTATAATAATTATGAAATTCCTATTTATGGGCTTAAATGAAAAACTGCTGAAAAAGGCAATGAAGAAAGTTTTCAATGATGAATAAAAATCACCTGTTCTGTAGTCTTTTCCTGTTTGTGAAATTTTTCTCTAACAGAAACATTCGATTTTTGACGAAAATGCTGGATACTGAAATGTTTTCCTGTCGATAAGAATATCGATTCTGGCAAGGAGATTCGATTACCCCGAACTTATTGGTTAGTCAAAAATTAATAATATCGATCCTGGCAGTGATGTGATATTCGATTATCTTGAATTTATTGGTTAGTCAAGAATTAAAAAAATTCTAAAAGAGATTGACTACTGGAAATAGCAATACATATATCACTGAAACGTTTTGTACACGTGATCAGGGAAGCAGGCAATACATATATCACTGAAACGTTGTGTACGTGATCAGGGAAACAGGCAATACATATATCACTGAAACGTTTTGTACTTGATCAGGGAAACAGGCAATACATATATCACTGAAACGTTGTGTACACGTGATCAGGGAAACAGGCAATACATATATCACTGAAACGTTGTGTACGTGATCAGGGAAACAGGCAATAAAGATATCACTGAAACGTTTTGTACGTGATCAGGGAAACAGGCAATAAAGATATCACTGAAACGTTGTGTACGTGATCAGGGAAACAGGAAATAAAGATATCACTGAAACGTTTTGTACTTGATCAGGGAAACAGGCAATAAAGATATCACTGAAACGTTGTGTACGTGATCAGGGAAACAGGCAATAAATATATCACTGAAACGTTGTGTACTTGATCAGGGAATCAGGCAATACAGATATCATTGAAACGTTGTGTACGTAATGTAAAAACAACAATACAATTTAGGGATGTTGATAACAATTATAGATTGTAATCGTGATATAAAAACAACAATAACATTTAGGGATGTTGATAACAATTATATATTGTGATCGTGATATAAAAACAACAATACAATTTTGGGATGTTGATAACAATTATATATTGTGATCGTGATGTAAAAACAACAATAACATTTAGGGATGTTGATAACAATTATAGATTGTGATCGTGATATAAAAACAACAATACAATTTAGGGATGTTGATAACAATTATATATTGTGATCGTGATGTAAAAACAACAATAACATTTTGGGATGTTGATAACAATTATATATTGTGATCGTGATGTAAAAAGAACAATAAACAACTTAAAAACCATACTTATAATCATGGTAATTGGTATATAGCTTAATGTTTATTTAAGTTTAGTTTTACAAGATAAAACTATTTACTTTTATAAGCACACCAAAGTTTTTTATTTCATAAAAATACCACTGGCTACAAGAAACAACTCCAATACTAAGTAGGCGAATTATCAATCAAATACTACGCTAAACTAAACGCTGTAATGAATACTCAATATAAATTAATTTGTTTTCACTATGATCTAATGATTTCTCCTAGAACAGAGTATAAAACTTGATTCATTTGGTAGAAAATGAAGTCTGATAATGAATAGCAGAGTCATGGCAACAATTGTAAACACCTTTAATGAACGTTTCGGAATTAAATATGTTTTATCTTCAGCAAATCTATGATAATAACGAAATGAACAATATTTAGTATAATTAATAATATGAAAATACAATAAACAGTTTTAGGAAATTATATATATTTGTATATTTATGTACGACCTTTGAACGTAAAAGTGAAGGTAAATATAAATATACATGTGGTAGCTGTAAAGCGACCTACTTAGGCAAGATTTCTCGCCATTTACAAATACGTGCCTCGGAACACATGGGAGTTTCTAACAAAGTTGGACTTAAACATCAAACTCCGCCTAACTCTCCATAATACCATGAATGAAAATTCAAGCCTCGTCAAAAATTTCAATTCTTTCCCCTTGCTTTATTAAAATAGTTCTCTCTCTTCGAAATTCAATATTTTATAATTTCCTAAAACTGTTTATTGTATTTTTATATTAGTAATTATACTAAAGATTGTTCAATTCGTTATTATCATAGATTTGCTGAAGATAAAACATGTTTAATTCCGAAACGTTCATTAAAGATGTTTACAACTGTTGCCGTGGTCAACTATTTATCATTAGACTATAACACTATGATCAGCAAAATCTTTAAAGAATCGAAATCATATACGTAATGTTTGGTTTACGAAAACTGTAGATAGGTGACGCTGTAACAATTTAAAATATGCCAGTGTAAATCAAACATACTAAAGAAACGAATACAGATACAGTTAAGTTAGCATAAACCGTGTGCGCAGAAGAAGGTTTCTCCTCATACATCTCCCACTCGTAGTCGCCGCAGTAACCATTCAGAATTGGTTGGGTAGGAATGCCCCTTCTGTGTAATAGTGTACATGTAGTAAGTTATATTGAAATATAATACAAATAAATGCTTTAAAAAGTCACTATAATAACCACACATTTTTTATTTGATTATTAGACTATAAAGAAACAACAACAAGAAAAGAGAAACAACTGGCAATATAAGGTAGATTATTTTGGAACTTATATTTTTGAATTCAACTTTTTATTTCAAAATCATTTTGTATTTTTGATATCTCACCTTAGCATACGACAACGTTGTTCATCTAGCCTAAACTTAGCACTTTCAACGTCTGTGACGTCCTCGCGGCTCCAAAGTCTTTCTCCTACTGCTGATGCCGAAGGCCTAAGCGCAGAAAAGTCAGTATAGTTTAACTTTTTAAACTAATTTATTACAAATTTTACGATACTTTTCAGCCAATGTCATTTCAAACGTTTTCAGAATATTGGCAACATACAGTGGAACTGGAATCACAAAAAAAAATCAAGCACTGCTTTTGGAAATTTGATTTATTAAGTGATAATTTTTAAACTAAGTTAAGCATTTGAAATAGTTGTTATAAAACATTATTAATATATTATAAAATATCTTCGTGTTGCCTTGAAAGCTGGACAACAACTCGAATCAGTGTTACCCAGTTGTCACGGCTGTTGCCATGTGTACGTACGTTGGAACAGGACTTTGTAGAGGACAAGTTTTTTTGTAACACAGTGAAAATACTCTGATTCATTTAGGCCTAATTACAAACAATTTGCTCAAACCCGTGGACAAACCTTATGGTGTAAGATTTCACTTACTGAAAAATGAATTTTGCATACAACAATTGTTTGCAGAAGAGTGAAAACATTGATTCATTTAGACCTAATATACAAACAATGTCGGAAATATCGCCAGCATTCTAGGCAAGTTTTGTGTTGAAGTTAAACAAGTGTGTACTTTATACTTTGATTGCTATTATCACATGATGATGGACTATTATACTTTGAAAACTAAACAAGTTCTAAATCGTATTGATTTATTATTAATTCTTAAAATGATATCAAAATATTCAATGAAATTTTAAACTTTAATATTTACATGTAGGCCCAAGTATATAGGCTACAATTACTACACGACAGCACTAATTAATCAGATTTCAATAAATGTGAAAGCAGAAGAAGGGAGAATATGTTATTGGCTGGTGATTTCGGGCAACAGATAATGGTCACTTTCACTTCCTCGGACAACAAAATGATCTGTTACTCGCATAATCAGTCAATAAGTTTTCACTGTTTCACACATATTCAAGTCTGGATTCATATAATTTTAAATTATTATGTAATTAATTTTACCATGTCTTTTAATATTATATATAAGTGTCATGGTTGTAACTCTTCCATAAGTTAGAAACTGAACATGCGTTCATTTACACATATAAAGGTGAATTTTTTAAAAGTCCAGCAAAAAGTTGTTGAACTCAAACTGTTATGAGAAGCTATAAACAAAGATGCAGTATCTCAGAACACGTCGATATTCCAACATTCCAGGTTTTCCTTAGGGTATTGATTTTAGGCTAGTGATTGTGGAGAGCAATTCATCATTAACAAAATTAATACATGCGTTATAGTTGTCAAACTTTCCATTTTTCAGGTTACTGTCTAGCAATGGAATTTTGTTTTCATGCGAGGTCTCTTTTGTTTTGTCTCTTCAACAAGAAGCCTAAGAACAATAACGCCACCATTTTTGGCGTGCTTCTCTTAGCCTAAAAACAAAATATAAAGCTGTTGTTTTTAACGTAATTTAGAAGTGTTTTGATCTGTTCAGAAATATTGAAATAGTGCCATTACAGCTAATACTCCGGATTTGGCCAAAAGCGCAATCTTGTATATAGAATCCACCTTTCTCACTAAGCTTCATTTTATGATAAATCATCCTCATATTTGTTATTATTCCCTTTCCACTAATGTTAGCCAAATCTTCAGCAAGTTCCTCTGCGGGTCAACAATAAGTATACGCTAAAATTTGGGGTTCGATTTCTTGAGGGGGAGAGAGTGCAGATGGCTCATTGGGTAATTGTGCACTAAGAAAACAGCAAAAGCAACACCATTCAATAAAAGTGAAATACAAGATATAAATATGAAGCCAAATTTATAATAATATAAAATAATATAAAATATAATAAGCCAAATCATTCGATTCACCATTTCTCAGTTAGTTATTTGGTGTCCGGGAATTCCACTCCTCGTCAACAACTCTCAACAAGGGCAAAGCGATAAAACAAGACTAGGCTTCTTATATTCGTGGACTGTATATAATATGTTTGGTGGTTTTAGTAATATTTTACTTCTCTAACCTAAGCTCTTTTTACATAAGACGTGAATAATGTACTCTCCAATACATGTATGGTTTTAGTCACTTGAAAGACGTTGCTAATGGACTGCATCTGTCTAGGAAGCTGTTTGGACGACATTTCGAGCTGGTATCGTAAATGTTAAGTAGGTTTACATTATTAGCTCGAAACGTCTCTCCAAAAACTCCCTAGATAGATGCAGTCCACTTCCTTTCACTTTCATCTGCGTAAACCACTTTCACGTATGGTTTGAATTGTATTGTTGTAAGTTATATTGTTACTGTTTTGATTTAGTTGTCTACTAGAGCAAGCTGCTAATCATGATGTTGACATTTCTTAAAAGTAGTCCTAGAATATCCAGAAAGTTCATGATAATGTAATAATCTAGGAACATCGGGGAAACGAGAGTACATTATAAATACGATTTATTAGTGTATGTTAAGATTCGATGATAATTCTGTGAAGTATTCAGTAATTTAAATAGTTAACGAGAAGTTAGTTTAGCGCTGTGAAGTATTCAGTAATTTAAATAGTTAACGAGTAGTTAGTTTAGCGCTGTGAAGTATTCAGTAATTTAAATAGTTAACGAGAAGTTAGTTTAGCGTAAGAAAATTTACTCATTATTAACACGTCTATCCTGCTGTTCAGTTACTCGGTGAATTACAAGTTTGTTTATCTGTCAAAGCTAAGTAAGTTAGGCTTAGGTCTCGTAGCTAATACTGAAACTTTATATTTGAAGTGAGGCCTATATTTAGTAGTGGAATTTATGTTGAAAGGTATATTTGTGAAGATGGCCGTAACAAACGTCATTGAATATATAATTTTATTTGTTATCGTCACGAGAACTGGACTTGGCATCATTTTTACAAAATAATCCAAAGCAACAGAACAGCAGTGTTTTACTTATCACAGTGAACTCCTATTTTTATAGGATTAGAACAATATAGTCTACTCCACGTACACGTTATAAGTATGGTGTTTCGTTGTCTTTTACTCACCACAGTGTTTATATAGGTTTTAAATGATAATATACAGCGTTAGTTGCACCGAAACACTTTGTGAATTGAACAATAGATTTCATATATTCATCTTTATTTAAACAGCTTTGCTGCTGAATAACTTCGAAAAAAAAATATTAGCAAGTTTACTGTGGTGAGAAAAGACAACACACTAACTAGTTGTAAGATGTTTATTGTTATTGTAAATAAACCAAAACACAACTCACCACAAGCGAGGGATAATGTTAGTCCCGTCTACATATTCTCCCCACATACAGGCTTCTCCTCCAATTACCAGGTCTTTCTGTTCTTCCGTTCCTGGAAACAGTTTTCATTGGTTACATGCTCGCTGGTTTAATTGTGTACAAGGTTTTAAAAGTAAACATCATTGGAAGTTTAGTCTTCATTGCCTTTTGTTTGAGTGGTATTAATATGGTCAGTCACTAAGATTGCAAAATACATAATTTACCAACCAGATCAGCTTTAACCTTCTTTACTGATCACGGACATACAGAGGAGGCCCATATTTTGGATTCAAATGTTCTTTGCTATATGTTCATTTAAATCAACTCATATTTTACATTGTTTTACTTTTGACAAAAAGTGACGTCATAAAGATTTTAGTCAAAGTCACAGAAGTGGAGTTTGTTTTTAGTTTTTCATGTTTAGGGTAAGCGACAAGTTAATGTAGAACGTATAGGTTTGAATAACGAATACAGGAAGTGAAAAAAAACAAACTACAGTAAATGGGACAAAATGTTAGAATTCTTCATACTGGACAAACCAGTTTCAACATATTCTCACACTGTCTTAACTTTCAGAAGACTGAAGAGGACACAGGAAAGTGTCGAAACTAGTTTTTCCTCCAATATCAAGACTTCTAACAGTTTGTCCCATTTACTGTGTTTCTTTTTGTGTAACGATTAATATCACTGAAATAATATTCTACAACACAAAATAATAAGTTATTACACTTAGGTTATTATGTAGCAATATACTGACACCGTTTTACATACTTAGGTTATTATGTAGCAATATACTGACACCGTTTTACATACTTAGGTTATTATGTAGCAATATACTGACACCGTTTTACATACTTAGGTTATTATGTAGCAATATTTTGACACCGTTTTGTGTAAAACGGTGTCAGTATATTGCTACATAATAACCTAAGTATGTGAAATGGTGTCAGTATATTGCTACATAATAACCTAAGTATATAAAACGGTGTCAAAATATTGCTACATAGTAACCTAAGTATGTAAAACGGTGTCAAAATATTGCTACATAATAACTTAAGTATATAAAATGGTGTCAAAATATTGCTACATAATAACCCAAGTATGTAAAACGGTGTCAGTATATTGCTACACAGTGATGTACAAGTGGGTGTAGTTTGGTGGCTTAAACCCCTTCTTTCCTCCTCATATGCCCAAAAAGTCATATTCTCAGTCATAAAAAAATGTCCACAATTTCTAAAAGTCACGTCTGATTTCAATTTGAAAATAAATGACACACAGGAACTTGTAGGACTTTGGAGTAAAGAAAGAATTATTGAATACTGTTAAGTTTGAATATGGAATAATTCTCTGTTTAGTTATATTATTTTAAAAGTGTTTATAAGAACGATTGTATAGGAACAAAAGAGTATATGTTTGGTTCTCATAGTTTTCTGAGGCTCGACCTTTTAGCCGTGGGGGCGTTATAATGTGACGGTCAATCACACTACTCGTTGGTAAAAGAGTAGCACAAGAGTTGGCGGTGGGTGGTGATGACTAGCTGCCTTCCCTTTGTCTTACACTGCTAAATTAGGGACGGCTAGCGCAGATAGCCCTCGTGTAGCTTTGCGCGAAATTCAAAAACAAACAAACAAACAATGTTTTCTACCCTGGGTGTACCAGAGGAAACCCATCTCCCCATAGTCTCCCCACGATGGTTGAAAAGTATATTTTAACGTCACCTGCACGTTTCTGTTGCTACATAATAACCTATATAAACAACATTTCGTTCCTTCTCTCCATCGCCAAGAGGCTGAAATAATGACAGGCATTGTTAATGACTGTTTTCTTCACGCAGCAGACCTTCTAAAGTCTATTTTAATTTTTATTTGGCTTTCTTATCATTTTTTTGTTTAAATGTGTTTCTGGAAGACTGGTTTATACTTGGACGAATGAGACATCTCGTCTACGGTATTCTCAGCTTTATACTACAGTCTTGGCCAAAATGTTTGTAACAAATAAGATCTTTATAATTAAGGTGAAATACAAATACACTTACCCCCCCCCCCCAGGGGCACACCGGAATGTTGGCGGACTTAAAACCCCAGGAACCGGGTTTCGATACCGTGGTGGGCAGAGCAGAGATAGCCCTTGTGTAGCTTTGTGCATAATTAAAAAAAAAAAACAAATAAACTTAGCGGTATCAAACTGTTAAATGTATGTTATATTAAACATGTACATATGTAATTTGTATAATGAGACAGGTTCTGCTTGTTCAAAGATGTATAATTCAACATTTCATCTATCTCAACAAAACCTTACCAAAACATATACGATGACAAAATATAAGACCC